TTTTTTTTATTTCTAGCTTTTATTTTGTGCGCATCAAAGCTTATGGAGGGTAGTGTGCATGAAGTTTTTTGGTTTTCTTTATGCGTCGAGTGCGCATGAGCGTGCACCAAACTACTGGCTGGTAATGAGTACCGTTCATAAAATCCCGACGATATGCGATTGTAGCATACATTGTGGTGTGGCCGAAAAGACAAGGCAGTAAGCTGGCAAGAAGAAAGGAGTGAAGAAGCCTTTATAAAGAAAGCGACGTAGGCAGAAATAAGGGCAAAGCAGCACAACGAAGACTTAGATATAGATTAATCTCTTTTAGTAAAAAATAAATATCTGACTCCAGATAAGCATTTCACTGAACATTTAGGTTATTTCCAGAATTTACTTTGCACAGGTTGTTGTTTTGAAGAATAGATTAGATTACCTTTTATTTGGATGTGGTACTAAAAGACTCTTTTGGAAGTGTAAGGACGACTCTACTATATTTGAGATGCATGAGAGTTCCTGAATAATGTCTTCTTTCAGCAAATGGCTGCCCTGACCCATTTCCTACGTTTCATATATATATATATTTTTTTTTCGAAAGAAAAAAGCGTCATGATGAAGACCATCCACGATACGGCTACTCTGAGTAGATAAAGAAGCTTGAAAAAATTTTTTTATCAGATTTATTTGTCAAATTATACATTGCTCAGCATTTTGTTAAAGAACAACTTCAGAACCCATTAACTGTGACCGCTCCAACTCTGTTGTTCTGCCAATGGCACAAACGTGCAGTCGATCGCCATTAGTTTTATCCAAAGTGGAACGACAGAGTGCGGCTGAGAGCTGGCTCAACGGATACCACACCACCGTAGATGCAAGAAATGGTAAAATCTGTCGTAGGTTGAGTTCACTTGGCATCAAAGATTGAAGAAAATCCTGTAAGCATTCAGATAGCGAAACAGTTGGTTAAAGAATAGGTTAAATTCACCCTTCCTGCTACTGGAATGTAATGTAGGATATAGCAGACGAAGTGTATGAGTAAAATGGTTAACTGAAATACATAAGGCTTCAAATCCGTAAACAGGTTCTGTAGGAAACTGCTGAAAGTGCTAACCAAGCTTCTTGATATGACCGATTGAAAATTGAGATTTTTTACGACTCGCATCCATATTTGCATGAGTGTGCATAATAGTAGAGGCAACACAAACTCGAATGCGATTTTTGTTACACCCATTGTTGATTCTCGGCTCAAACAGCGATAGGTGTGAATCAGCATGATATATTGTTCTCCTTCAATTTCGTCTTTTTGGATCAATTCCAACTGAAACAAGGAGGTTATTATTGTACTTAAGCAATCTGATATCTTTCAGTACCTGTGCAGCAATTCCTTCGGGAACAACGGATATAAAAGTCAAAAATAACATCGATACAAATGCAAGTAACGATAGGGCTCCCTCATACTTCGAAAGACGATTTGGCCGCGATAGTTGCAGCCCCTATTGATTTCACAAATCTCAACCTAAGATCGAATATTACTCACAGTAGATACGTGAAGCAGCGCGATTCCCCATGGCGTTAATACTCGTCCTGCTGTAGCAAAGGTGTGATGAGCACTGCAAGAAAACCGCCCAAACATCCATATCTTCACTAGTTTCTCTAAAACCACTGACGGCAATCCCAACGGAACCTAGAAAACGGTGAGACTTATGACTACATAAAAATACCTCCTTTAAGCCTAATAGAAACGCAGAGTGTAAAAGCCATTTTTAACAATTTGTTAACAAGGTTTTTTTGTCTAGAAAGAATTATAATTGAAAATGAGCTTTGTACCATTGGCTTGGTAATACACATTCTTCAAATACTAGACCATTAACTGTGTACCATTGAACAATGATTGCTTATCTCACTAAAATTTGCGGTAATTATATGAAGAAAAGCTATGAAAGTTTACTTTGCAAACACTAGCCTACATAGTTTGCCGTTTTGCTGAACAGTTTCGACTTTAAACTTAAACTTCTATCTAAAAGATCATCTCCCACCAAACTAATTTCAATTAATA